TTATCAGTGAGGAAATATAATCCTAGAGAGTGAAAATGACCTGTCACAAGAAGCAAAACCAGTTAATGGTGAATTTCCACATAAATCAGGTGTCCCAGCTGAACAGCCCTGGGGACAATCACAACCCACAAAAGTATTTGCTTTGGCCCACACATTGTTGCCCCAAATAGGGTTTTAGAGAATTTTGATTTATTTGACAACATATTAAAAACAAGAGACTGTACACTAAAATTGAGATTTCTGACTTCTTTTAAGCTACTTGAAGATATTTGGCTGCTCCCTCAGGAGCAGTGAGCTTTAGCTTTAGCAAGGACACGGCTGCCCCCTTTGGGATATAACAGGCAGTCACATTTGGCCTTCATCACTGAGCATGTGCTGTTTGCTTAACTCCATTAACCTTTAGACATTAAATATCCGAAGCCTATTCTGAGGACCTTGCATAAAGCATAAGACAAAAGTATCTTTTCAAAAATATTTTTATTATGATAAGATATAAATAGGATGTACTTTCCTGAAAGTTTCTATGTGTACAAGAGAGGTTTGGGGTCTTGGAGGCCTAAGGAGAAAATGAAATGTGTGGCATGCCCCATTGTTGTCAGATTCTGTAGTATTTATTTCATGAACCCGCATAAGAATTCTTGGAGGTTAAAGCTCTTATTTACAGGACTGTATTCAAGGACTCACTGTCTACCAAAATTTAAATGTAAGTGTGCTCTGTATTTTATCTGGCATCTCTGTATTTATCATTTCAAAATCAAAAGTAAAAAGTGAGCTCTGCTGTTTACAAGCACAAAGCAATGTAAACAAGTGGACTTCTGTCCCTGGATCTAGTTCATGTTCAGTTGCGCCACATAGTGGTAAGTGGACAAGGCAAAGAGCCTTTGGATTCAAACTCTGTAAAGAAATCTGGAGACCACACAGGAAATATGAGACTATGGTACCTAGGCAACATCCAGAACTTTCTGGACTCACATGCTAATTGCAGAGGAGGATTCCATTCCCTGCGATGTGAATGACCCTCACGTGTACTCGTTGACTATGCTGATGGGGATGCTTTCTCCATAGATATTACCAACCATTTTCTGTCCTCTGAACTTGGCCCCAACTTCTCTTCCTATCAAGAGGCTATTTTCATGGAAATAGAAAGTTGAAGGGCCAGATAAATAGGATGGTGACAAAAATTTTCCGTAACATAACTTGAATAGATTTCACAGTACTCCCCAGGATCAGGCTTACTTGGAAAGATTTCCATGTTCTTTCTTAGAATGGTGGAGTAAATTAATCAATAACTTCCTAATTCTGCGATGATTTTACGAATTTCAGAAAGGAGAATAATCTCTACTAAATATGAATGTGATTCCATTCTGGCTTAAACTTTCCTGTAGCTAACTATAACCTTCACCTAGCTGTTAGTTTGTTCCACATCCCTCCAGAAGCCAACAGTGGCAGGAAGATTTGAGCATTAAGTCTTTGCAGCTGGGAAGGATTCCTGGATGAGTTAAAGGAAGGGGAAAGTGAAAGGATAAAAGGAAAAGTAATGGAGAACAGTGTTCACGGGCAGCAACTTCTGCGGACACCTGTGGCCCAATCTGGACCACAGAGAGAGAGCTGGTGTCTGTGCGCTCACAGCTGTATTCAGGCTAAGGAACCTTCAGTCACTGCCAACTCACCCAGCAGTGCGCTTCTATGAACAAGCACACAAAATGCCAGGCCAAAAGTTTTAGGTTCTAAAAGAAAGAAGTAACAAAGAAAATATCTGAGACCCCAGTGGCATCAGCTGCAGCCTCACCTTGTCCTTTCAAGGAGCTCATTGTTCCGCACCCAAAACACACAAACCAAGCAGCACTGTCTGCTACATGATGCTGATAGTTTAGCTTTCTGGATTAATTCCAATATTAAATAGACCAGCAAGCCATAGATCCTCACAGATAAAACTTCAAGAATGTCAAGTTTCTTGAGGGAGGTTTCTAGTATAAATCTGGATTATAAACTGAGATGCCATTTCTCAAATGGAAACTTCACAGGTTTCAGAATCTTGCAATGTGTTAACCTTGTTCTGCCATCGTTAATTCCTCGGCAAACAGCATCATGGGGCAGTAAGCCGTCCACCTCTTCCGCTTCGCTCAAACTCGTCTATTGTGTATCTCACATCTCCGGAGCTCCTGCTTTGCATGACCTAAAGCTATCTTATTCTGAGTGCTGTCACTGAGAAATAAAAGGGTTCCTCTTTCAGGGGGTTGTCTGAATAGCCAAGGCAGCGCACAATAATTAGGAGCCACAATTTTGGAGACAGGTTGCTAGGATCTGAATCATGCCTCTGTCACTTAGGAATCCCTTGACGCTGGGCAAGGAACTTGTCCGGTATACGTCTCAGTTGCTCATGTGTAAAACGGGTTTTATAATACAACCTGCTTCTTTGGGTTTGCTTAGGATCCGATGGCTTAACAGCTGTGATGAACTCAGACAAGTGCTTGGAAGAAAGTAATATTCTGCTGAATAAATCCAAAAGGGTAAGGCTGCAATAGACACTTAACATCTGCTCACGGTTAGTGCTACGGCTGCCACCTCACAGGTTCTAAAGAAACATGGTGCACTATTCCCAGCCCATCTTTTCCAGAATAAGGAGGACTGACCTTGGAACCACCAGAAGTAAGTTGGAGAGTACACTCTGTCATTACTAGCTATGAAGGCAGTTCTGAACTCAGTCCACAAAATGGGACAGTAACATCGAGTAAAGGAATGTATGTAACAGTATTGCCCTGACTCCACAGTAATCTCCCAGGAGAGCTCTGCCTGCTGTCTCGCCACTCGCTTCCCTTTGTTTCTATCATTAAAAAATTATAAACTATAATAGGCATCTTGATCTTTAAACACATTTTCCTTACTCTTTCGTGTAACTACTTTCTAAAAATATTACATTTTCTAACTTCCTGTCATGTGGAACTGCTTTTTTAAAGGCTTCAAGTGTGGTAGCTGGCACCTATCTATAATCGTAGCGCTACGAAGGCAAAGTCAGTAGAATCATGAGTTCAAGGTCAGGCTGAGCTATACAACAAAACAGCATCAAGAAAAAGAAAGAAAGAGAAGGAGAGTAAGAAACAGTATAACAAGCTTTACGTCCCTTTTTAACTTTTATTTCACTTATCATGTACCTCATTTTTTTCTTTGTATCTACAGGTATGGCACAGTTTTATTGACTTTCTGCCAATTAAAACTTTCAACCGTGGAGATACTTGTAGAAATGTTTTTCTTCAAAATGATTTGTAAAATTCACATATTTAGATCTTTGATATGAAGTGCCAGTTGATTTTTCTAGATTATTCTGCTTTACATTCTTCCTGTTAATGTTGCAACTGGACATTGCCCCATAATTTCATCAGACTGAACAATCAGAATAGTGATTTTCGGCCTAGGAAATTAAGCACATAGTAATGATGCACACTTCCTTACGCATTAGTAAAATGGAGTGTCTTTTTCCCTGTTTACTGACTGGCTTTGTCTCCATTTATGAATTTTTCATTTTATCCCTTTGTTCTTTCGGGTAGTCTGTGATTTTTGTCCTCAGACACAGGGGCTCTTTACAGTGAAAGGACAGTCACCCTTTGCAGTCTGCTATTTTCCCAATTATTTTTCTGTTTACATTTGCTTTGGATAAGTATAGGAATGTTAGCAGGAAGCTGCAACGCTTTGTGCCCATCTCTTCACTTTCTCTCCTTGCCTACAGCTTCTTGGCCCACCTTGAAGCAGACCCGCACTCACTCAGAACCTGCCCCCACCTTTTCTTTTCCTTCTGCCTGTGTTACTGGATTGTCATTGTCACCCTGGAGCTCTGAAACCCCGTATCTGCACGTGACCGAAGAATGAAGCAAGCTGTGAACCTCTCACCTAAGCCCATGCAGTACAACCTTTTCGTGCCAAGGCAGAATTTTGATGTTCCTGGCACAGTTTTGTGGGAGTCATATCAAGAAAGACAGTAAGTCCACAGGATTCTTAATTCTCAGAACTAAAATGCTTTAAAATAGTATTTAGTTCATGCTCTTTGGGCCTTCGTTTCCTTCCTGGCTTAGCATCAAAAGATGTCAAGTATAATTCACTACCAACTTTTCTGAGCTTCTAAAGGAGAACGGGCAGCGATCTATGTGTAGTCTTTCAAATGCTCGTCGTTGCTAGGGAACCAGCAAGCTAATATATTAGCCATGGTAAGAGACTTCTCTATCACATTTGCTTTCCTCTCTGCTCCTTCCTGAGGTAGTTGGAAATGCTCTACAGGTAACAGAATCCACCCATAAAATAGAACCATGTCCCAGTATCAGAAGAAAACAGAACCAACCAGGTTGCTGTGTTTGTTCTTTCTATGTGAATCACTTTGGTTTGGAATAAACAGGAGGGCTTTGACATAAGATAATCACATGGTAGAATCCTACTTCTGCCACTACTGACCTACCACCTTGGGTAAGCTTTTTCTGAGACCTCCATTTTTGGAGATATTGATGTTATACTCATAAAACAATATTTATTGAGCCACTACTCTGTGTCAAGCACTTTATACGCATACATACTGAATCCTCACAGAAACCCAGTGTGACAACTGCCATTCTCCCCCTATTTTACAGCTGAGAAAACCAAAGGACAGCGAGAATCTTGCCCTGAGTCATAAACTAGAAAGTTGACAGTAGAACCAATGAATGCAATTTTTCTGAATATATTAACATCCCCAGTTGGGGCTAGAGAGATGGCTGAGCCGTTAAGAGCGCTGGCTGTTCTTGCAGAAGACTAAGGTTCAAATCCCAGGTCCCAAATGGCAGCTAACAATCACCCTTAATTCTAGTTCCAGGGGATTTGATGCCCTCTTCCATCCTCCGTGGGCACTGCATGACACGGATGTACCCACATACATACAGGCAATACATGCATACATATAAAATAAAAATAATAAAGTGTTAAAAAAAATCCCAGGGTATACAGAGGAGGGAGCCACTGTTGGTCCCTTTCTGTCTCACCTCGCACAGTAGCCAGCTCCCCATCCACATGAGCCATGCACTGCATGGCTGTAGCCCCCACACATATTGGCATGCTGACTTTCTGTCCTAAAACAGAAGTCGACAGGTCTATATCAGCAACATTCCGGAGCATCCGTGGATACAACCTCCATCTAGAATTAAAATGTATATACATATATAAAGTTTTAGAGTTTCAAAAGTATAATAAAGACTTTAACATTGCATTTCATTTAAAAAGAAAAAGCAACATTGGATTTTTTTTAAGCAAAATCCTTTTTCTAAAGCCAAAGGGGACAATTTTATGTTTTCTAGCATTAAAAAGTCAACACTAAGATAACACTATTACACAGTATATACATATATTGAACAATGTACAGTATCCCATTTATAGATTCAGTTTGTATTTTTAAAATATTTGTTATTTTATTTTATGTGTATGAGTGTATTTCCTGCATGTATGTAAATGCATTCGTGTCACACAATCCCAGTGGAGGTCAAAAGAGGGTGCTGGATTCCCCTGGAACTGGAGTTACAGACAGTTGTGGGTACTGGGAATTGAACCCGGGTCCTCTGCAAGAGCAGTCAGTGCTCTTATCCACTGAGCCATCTCTCTGGACCCACAGTTTGCACCTTTTATGATCAGTTAAAAATGTTAAAATATAAACATGATGGTGACAATGTATTCCCAAGAAATTTTTATTAAAGTATAATTAATACACAGCAAAACTCATCTGTGTTGGTGCAGTTCTAAGAGCTGTGACACATGCATGCAGCGTAATGACCAAGACAATCTCATCTCAAATCCAGACCAGTCAGGCACCCCCCAAAATCCAGACCAGTCAGGCATACCCCCAAATCCAGACCAGTCAGTCACCCCCAAAATCCAGACCAGTCAGGCATACCCCCAAGTCCAGACCAGTCGACCATCCCCCCAAATCCAGACCAGTCCACCATCCCCCCAAATCCAGACCAGTCAGTCACCCCCAAACGTCCGCATTTCCCTTTGTAGTGAAACACTCTCCCCACTTCAGCCCCCAACAAACACTGGTCTGTACTTTTTTGTCCTTGTAATTTTGCTTTTAAAGAACATCATTTGCATGAATTCATACAGCAGATAGCCGAGCATCTGCCGTTTCCCTCTCGCATACTGATTTAATTCACTCGTGCTGCTGCATGCAGCACCAATTGGTGCCTTTAGGTTGATGACTATTGTCATCACAGAGCTACCTCAAAGAGCTACTATAGTTGTCTAGTCATCCCTCAGGGACATTTAAAATAGTGCCAGTTTGTAGTTATTACATAATGTCACTATGAACATTCATTTATGGACTATTGGCTGATTATAGTTTTTATTTTACTCTCCCCAGGTCATTTAAATTTTTAAAATTATTTTTATTTTATGTGTATGCATGTATTGCCTGCATGTAGATAAGTACACCTGTGTTGTGCAACCCCCGCGGAGGTCAGAAGAGGCTGTTGGATCTCCTGGGACTGGAGTTACGGACAGCTGTTAGCTGCCATGTGGGTGCTGGGATTCGAACCCGGATCTTCTGCAAGAACAACCAGTGTTCTTAACTGCTGAGCCATCTCTCCAGCCCCTCCCCAGGTCATTTTTAAGATGGCATACAAAAATCAAAGAGGTTATATTGAAATTTAAGAAGGTATTTGTCTTCTTTTTGTAATAGAGAATAGCTCAAGGTAATTACTTTTAAAATTATAATTTGCCTTCTTCAACATTCTTAAACCAAATGTTGTATCCATTGAAAGTGATGATAAAGGAGGAGTTGAATTTTTGTTTACATTTTTCTCAAAGTAGTTAATAGAAACTGAAATTTTTTGACTTCTGAAATTTATTTTAAATTATTTTTCTGTGATGCTTCTAAGTTAGACTAGAAGTTACCATTAAACCAACAGCCAAAAAAAAAAAATCACTAATAAATCTTATTGGACAACAAATTCCCTTTTCTATTAGCAAGATGTATATGTCCTACTTGTTTGAGCTCATTATTCTCCACATTACTGATTAAAGCTAAGGCTTCACACAATAAATGTTGTGTTCGACACACGTACAGTCATAGCCAACACATTTCATTTTCTGGATTTAACTCAACTTCCAAGGAGACCGGAATGGGTTTGGTAAGTATAGTGAAGTGTGACTTCTTAATGGATAAATGTCTTAATGTTGCTTTGAGGAATGGTTAAGGGTCTGTAATCTAACCCTTCCTCACGTAGTAAAAACAGCCAGTCCCTTAACAGCATAACAAAGAAGTCTGACTGTGGGTTTCTCTGCTGTTTCTTTGAACATCATAGTAGTCATTTTATGTCACACCACACCACATGCTCTGTTGCTGCAAGTCTTTTCTTCCCCACTGACCCTCACAGCATGATGCTTTGATCTCATTTTGAAGGGGGAGAGGCAGAAGTCCTGAAGGGACTCTTTATTGCAAATCATCTCTAAGTGTGTTGCCAGAATGAGAGAGAGATTTTAATAGTGGCTACTGACAGGATAACTTTGAAAGGCATTAATATTTACTTATGACTGGAGGAACAATGAAAGCCTTTATGAAGAGAACTCACAAAACTGCAGGGCATCAGCTAGGAGTGGGGGGCGGGCGTTTTTTTTTTTAAATGTCACATTCCCCATTTACAAACCAAGGTTCAAGTCTCTCTAAATAGGCAGCAGCCTTACACTTGTCCACTTGGTGGCGCAGGCACCTTACGGACTGTGTGCTCTCCCTTTCCCATAAAGGCCATTTTCTGTTCTGAGATATTACAGACTCTTCAACCAGTACATGAAATGAAATTCTTGAGCAAAATTAAATAAAGGCAGTAGCATGGGAGAGTGTATATCTCCTAAAATTTCCTCAATGATATTTTCCAAATAGCAATATGAATAACTGCCAGATAGTTTCAATAGTTTTTAAATCCCCTCTCAAATCTATCCCAAATTTAAGTGCTATCACCACAATTACACATCAAAGAGTGCCTCACCGTGACCCCACATGGTGCTCTCATCCACGTTCCACTTTTGAAAACAGCTATAAAGATGGACAGAGCAGCTAGACCAAGTGGAAAGTAAACGTTTTTCAAAAGGCAGAATGAGGCCGGGAGGGCATGGTGGCACATGCCTTTAATCCCAGCACTCTGGAGGCAGAGGCAGGCAGATCTCTGTGAGTTCAAGGCCAGCCTGGTCTACATAGTGAGTTCCAGGACAGGTGGGGCTACAGAGAGACCCTGTCTCAAAAAGAACAAACAAAAAAACAAACAAACAAAAAAAGGCAGAATGAGAAAAATGGGTGAAATCAGGAATACTGTGGATAGGAACGTTGTATCAGGACTATTAGTGTATACTTCACATAGAGCCTCTGTCCTAACTAATCAGAAGATATACAGAGTCCCTAAAGAGTAACTGCTCCCTGAAGGGGTTCACAAATACCACAGCATTCCACCTGTGTGCTCACCACTCACACCAACCAAACACCCTGAGCTGATGTCTCCTAAATTCCGTAACAATACATGGAATGCTAAATTCTTCATCTTAACTTTTTACTCAAAAAGTTTAAAACAAATGATTCAAGAAGCACCTTAGTTGCTTAACTCTGTATATTAGCCGAGAGCTACTGTGACATTTCTACTTATGGCAATAATACTGAAAATGCTGCTGAGGGGTTTGCCTTGTTTCTCTAATAATAAAATGAGGATGGTACCACTTTTATCCACCAGTTCAAGTAAAAGCACACATTTGTCAGTGTCAATAAGTGATGAGGTGGGAAAGAAGAGCACACCAGTGGACCTCTGAAGTCATGAGCCTGCTAAAGACCCAAATTGTGGAGTGAGTTTCCATCAGTAATAGCCTCAGAAAGGGCTGTGTGTGCAGACGCCAGGTGAGCAGACTACTTGGAGTTACTGTGTAAGAGAAATGACGCAGTCCTCTTTTTCAAATTAGCCCCAATCAGATCAGGCCATTCAAAATGAAGTAACCAGACATCCTGACATTTGCCCTTGTTCCTGTTACATTTGCAAGAGGAAATTTCATTTTTCTTGATGGTTCCACTTATATGTCCTTTTGCAGTTTTTCTGGTCACAAAAATACTAGGCACAAGTCATATTCAGAAATGTCTCCAAGCAGCTGCTGAGTCACAGAAGTGGTCCAAGTCCCCAGAACTCCAAAATGTGGTTGTCAAATCTGAGTGCTAACTGAGAATGCAGCCTTTGAGGACCTTTGGAGTACAGACTCCATTAAGGGCCTTTAAAATGCCCTGTCCTTTTGTTACAGTGTAAGTGTCTTTGAAACACTCTGTCCTTTTGTTACAACCTTTCCTGTGGGTCGGTTGTTTCATACTCCCTCATTTGAAACAGAATGAGAAGTTTCAGGGTGATTTCCTTCCTGCTACAAACTGAAAACCACCAAACCCCTGCAGAAATTCACTCTTAGTTCCACATAACCAGCTCGATGACACAAGGCAAGAAATCATAGTCACCCAGCAAGACTCAGCAGAGGAGAACTTGAGAGGAGATAGAAGGGTGACCACGCCTCTTGTTTGTTCTGATACAAACACCAAGTCTTGATAATAAAAGAATCATTCTCTGAAGGAAGTGACTTAATATCTTTTATTTCTTTAAAGCTGAACACAAGAAATTATCAAGTTTCATGGAAGAAGTGCAGTGCAAAGTCACTGTATTCTTGTCTCGTCCCTACGTTGGTCCTCACATGGGATGGTAATCTGACTGGAGTGGAGTGTGCCTCATGTAAGCCTCAAGACATGCCTAAGGTTCACAACCTGGATGGCACCAAGCCCTCTATGTCTCACAAAGTTTCTAGAACTTCTAGGGTTGACAAGATCATGGATCTGCTCTGCTGAACTCACTTGCTCCTCTGAGTCTCTTCATAGCCAGACATGTTGGGACCATTTTATATAATCACCCACTAGATGATGAAGGGTTAGGGTTAAAGTCAATGTGCAGGCACTGGAATGTAAGCTCCTGTAGGTAGGAACTTTCTGGATCATTGTCATGTTCTTACCTCATAGCAGAGACTTGCCCATAAAGACTGCTAGAAGTATAAGTTAGTGAATTATCCAAGCATGTTGGCATGTGCCTGTAATTCAGCACTCAGGAAGCAACATTAACTGTGAGTCCTGGGCCAGACTGGTCTCCACAGTGAGTTTGATACCAGCCTTGATGCCAGCCAGAGCCATGTAACGAGACCATTATCTTAAAAATAAACAAAAAAAATGAATAAGCTGGCCAGCATGAGGTGAGGTCCCTAAAGGGTTAAGAAAGCTGCATGCAGTTGGAATGGGTGACCCCCAGCAGCAATGCCAAGATGCCAACCTGTTACATCAGTCAAGGGTCTGAAGTTTCCTTGCTACAAAGTCCTATTAGGGCTAAGATGTTGTTTAAGGAGAGCACCCATAGGAAACCACTTATCTAGTAAACAGAGCTGATATGGCCCCAAGAAGGAACAGAAAATCTTGAGGCAGCCCCAAATATTAACCAACGATTGGGGAGAAAATGGAAAGAACTGTAAGCTCCCTCCACTCTTACCATTCCTGACCACAACTTCCCTAACATTTTCAGAGCTCAACTGGGTTCAGGGGAAGCCAATCAAGGGCCTCAGGGGTTGGGGAGATGCCCCACCCTTCACCCCATCACCATGCTCAGGCTCCACCAGCAACTGTGGGTAAAAGTTGCTGACAGTCAAGAACTACCTTAGGTAAAATTATTTCATTTCTACTCATTCACAAAGAGAAAGATGATTTTGAGTGATTTTGCTCTAAATCAAAGAAGAAATGAAAGAGAAAGCAGATTTTCTCTCCCTGGGTCTTTTCTAACCATCTTCATTTACTGAATCTCCATTGGTGAGGATCCTGAAAGTCCACTGTCATCATGAAGAGTGGCAGGGGAAGATGAATGACATTGAACTATGGTCTGGTGAAGCCCCGCCCCCTACTCTGTTGAGAGAAAGGCATGCTTTTAAAGTTATTTTAGTTCCTGTCTTTACCACAAACAGAAAACAGTCCATAACTCCCACCATCTTACGCCCGGAAATGTGAAAGTCAAGAGAAAGTTAATTTGGGAAGAGAGATAAAGCACTTCAGAGGAGAGAAGAAACTGCAGGGTGAAGGGTTCACGCTGCATGGACAGACTGAAAACTAAAGCAAGAGTTTGCACAGCTGTAATCAAGTGAATGATAACACAGAAGCCAACAGGAAGGGAACATCTCAAGCAGCAACCCTATCTGGTTCAACTGGGTAGGATGCCTATCTAGTGTTTACTGCTGTCTTCCCACTCCGTGAACACAAGCACTCACTGTCACACTCTGAGGAGAAGAAAATGGAGTCATCAAAGT